AAAAGCAAATAAAACATAAATAATACATACTAAGAATACAACCATATCTAAAATAAAATCATAGCAGAGTTTCACTGTAAAATTCCTCGAGATTGTAGAATGCTTTTTTGAGTACAGCTTCTTTCATTATTTTTCTGAATTTGTAATAAATTATGTCGGAAACTTTTCTCGTATTTATTTTTTTCAATTTCTGTTCATAGATTCCGAAATATTGTTATACTTACGGGGGAACCCATCATGGTGAACGTTTTCCCGCTGCCCGTCTGTCCATAAGCGAATACGCAGGCATTGTAGCCTTCAAAAGCACAGTCAATAACTTCAGCACCCAAATCGTTGTACACCTGTTCCTGAGACGCGAAATTTCCGTTCTGGTCATCGTGCGACCAATAGGAATAGTCAAAAGTGAACTTTTTGTATCTGATATTCTCGTCCCTGGCGTTTGCCTAGAAAAAAATTAACTGAATATGATAGAACTGAGTATAATACTTTATTGATGCCTCACATTCTTGTGCTTGAATAAATCGTGAACAGAATTTGTACAAATAAACAATATATAGTTTACCATTACCAAAATACACACGTATACCGGGTGTTTCCCAACTACAGTACGAAACTGTAGTTGGGAAAGAATTATAAAATATAAATATCCTTACACCGATTTGGTTGAAATTTGTTACAGTTATTTGAAGTAAGAAATGATAAGGTCCAATGGAATCTTACTGGGCCTCACAGCCAAAAATATTGAAAAAAAGTACGCCACTGATTTATTGTATTTTTAGTTATTGAACTAAAAACACAACTTTTCTTTTGTCGCTTGTGTTTACTCCATATCTAGCTTCGTTTTCCAGAAAAAAGATTGCATATCGTTCTTTGGAGATCAGCTGACAGTTTTAGTGCTGTAATATCAGTGCTGACATGCACTTTACTTATGGATTGACAAATGGAGTTGCGGAAGAAGCACGAAGAATTAACCAGAACAGATATTTCGACAGAGTAATTCCGTGTGCTAAAACATTTAGAACGCTGCATCCAAAATCATGTGAAACTGGGAGTTTCAATAAAAATGCAGGTGGAAGACCAGAAACTGTAACAACGCCTGAAATAGAAAAAGCTATGCTTGATGCGGTAGAATATCCTCAATTTAGGGACGAAGCAAATTTTTGGGCCAAAAAAAATCGCAACGTTACTAGAGAAAGTTATTTTCAGCAACAATTATCGCTGAACGTTTAAGTAGGAATGATTGGCGACCACCTAATTGTCCCATTTTTTCTACCAGCAAAACGGGGCTCCAGCTTATTCAGCATCACGACATCACCTACCCTAATCGCTGGATTGGACATGCAGGACCTCAGAATTGGCCAGCTCGCGGTCCTGATATGAATCCCCTAGATTTATATTTATGAAGGCTCTTGTTTATGAAACTTCTGTACTAGGTGTGAATGAGTTGAGGAATCGAATAATTGACAGTTGCAATGCCGTAAGGAATACACTAAATAAGATTGCAGTCGTGTATTTTATCAGAAGATGGACATTTTGCTCATTTAGTTATAGGTCGAAATTGTTTATTTACTTTTGGTTTTTATTTTACGTTGTCCATAGATAGTTTTTAGAAGTGACAATACAGATAATTTCCATCCTCAGCATTGATCTATTTCTAACTACTGTCTCGAATTTCTTCTGTAGATCAAGAAATACTACACTTATCAGTGTATTTTCTTTTAGATTTTTTTTTCCAATCGTCTATGACACACTGAAATGCTGTTTCGTGACTATGTTTATTATGAAGACCAGATTGAACACAACAACGTCAAACAAGCTAATATTGTTAGAGTATAAAAGGATTGTAAATCAGAAATACTTTATTGTTCATTTATTTATACATTAACGGAAAACACATTTTGCAAATTTCATTTGCATTTTTCCATAAAGACAATCAGACTATAACTGAAAAATATTTATACAATTCTAACAAATTCAAACTAGCAGTATTTTTGTTATGAACGTTTCTAATTTGCAAGTACTGGTATTTTGTTCACAGGAGCATGAAAGGATTGATTAGTATGACACATGACTATGTGAAGTGGTTGTACAATTATATACAAAGACAAAATGAATAATGCTGCTAATAAATTGAAAGAAACATGGAATATTGTCGATGAATTGAGGGGAAGAAACGATAACCAGATATTTGCAGATAACTACCTACATCCTGACTTTAATAACAACTTCTATTGTTCCGTGGTTGAGAAATCAACTGAGAGCTTCAATCCTACATGAGAGTTGTTAATGAACCTTCAAACAGTAACCATTAACAAACCATACATTTTTTTATAGCACCGATATCAGAGAACTCAAAATGAAAACATCTGGAGCTGACAATCTGTCGATCAGAGTATTTGAAAACTTACCAGAGGTTCTTGTTCGACTCGTTGACGAAACTTTCAGACATTCTAATAATCCATCAAACCTAAGACCCATATCTTTACAACCAGTTAACAAGCGAACCATGTTCTCTAACCATGTTACTTTGTTAGCGAAAGGCATGTCTAGAGACAGTATTTTTGTTCTGGTATGAAAAAAGTACTCTCAATAGAATATTCAATTTGTTGATTTCACGTTTCATATTTTTGTAGACTTTACCAATACGAAAATCTTCTCAAGACAATAAAGTATATTTTGATTGTATGATTTTTACCTTGGTATTCAGGATACCAGTGGTCTTGTCCGTCATCTGGATGATGAGTTCAGCGTTCATGTCGATTTCCCTTCGAAAAAAAATTGCTGTTATTAAAAGTACGGTTCATTGTACCATTTGTGCTCTCAACCATTAAATTTACCTTTGGTTGAAGGGTCGCACCCTCACCGCTACTTTAACCGAAGACATTTTCCGGTTACTCGAGGCTGCTCAGACTAACGAATGAAAGACATTGCGGAAAAACAAGAAAATAATTTCGGACTTCGAACGAGACTTTGTTTTTGTTTTCATTCACGTACTCAATCACTCACTGTTTGGAACCGACTGAAATTGAAATAAAACAGCTGACGGGTGGCATATAACATCAAATTTTTTTGTGTGTGTCATGGACACTCGAGGCAAATAGTCAGTCGCGTGCACCTGCATAACCTATAAGATTAGGAATATTCGATGGTGGCGTGTGTAGATACCGTTTAATGGGATTTTTTGGATTTAATGAAAGTTGGAAATTCAAAATTAGATTAGATGCCAGCACCATGATGACGAGAGAGAAAAACCTAGATGTCCACAATGTTTCTAGATTATAAGTTCCATTAAACTGCAAATCAGTGTGTTTGAGCCTCTGTTTCGAAATTGGTAAACCATTTTTATAGGTTTTATCTTAGTGAACATTTTAGGATTTCAGACAAGTGATTCGTAATTATGAAGTTGGTGCTTATTTTTCTTCAACATGTTGTTTTCGAAAAAATAGCTTATATACAATAACACCAACTATTTTTTATATTCTTCTAGGAATTTCAGCAGCAAATGAATCATCCTAATTTCAGATTGTAGTGGCTATATTTCCTCTCGACAGATTCCACTTTGTGTAGAACGGCAATATCCATAACTTCCAATTCACAGGTGCTAAGAAAACCTAAGAAGAAAAATGGTAAGAATTATATCATGAATTTAAATATTCTCATACACACAATATAATTATATCAATTGTAGTGTTTATCGATGTGGCTCAGAAATTTATGAATCTACAAGTAATTATGAAGAACTCACTTATTCATTTGTATGAGAGAAAATATCAATTGATAAATCAAATAGTCAAAATGGAAGGTGAAGACGGAAACTCTTGCGAAGAATAAATCTATATTTTTATCTATTTGAAGGTCGAGTTAGGCCGATAGCTACACTAGCCAAGGCCATTGTAATCATAATCAAGAAGAAAAGTAGTTACATAACCTAACCATTTCGGAATTTAAACGTTGACAAAAATTTCAGGTATTATGGTATTTGCAGATTGTGAAAGTATTGCGACAAAAAAATTAGAATGTTGCTCAAGGTTGACTTTGAAAAGCTGTTATGTCTTGAGAAGCTAGTCATTTCCGTATTATAGAATCATTCACTACACAATGGGAGCTAGCAAGGTAATTTTCATTTTTTGAGAATCTACAGAGCCTACAAATTTTTATAAGCATTATCTGGTCCATTTCTAAGTTCATTAGATATTATAGTAAGGCCGTTTAAATTTTGCCTCAGGCTATAGAAGCATAATTGATGTAACAAGTAGGCTAGAGACATATGTTTTGTCTAAAACATGCAATGATCACTGTGTGGCAAGTTTTTGGTATTCGTAGAAAAAAGTTCAAAGTAACAACTCTTTCTACATTTTTGAACATGTCACACGGACTTTTTGAGGCATTGGAGTTTTCTGCAGAACCCAGTATGGTCTCAGACCTGAGCTCTGAAGCATACAATTTCAGAAATTTAGGGCTTGTCCTGATGACAGTCAAATGCTAAGCCTATATTATCCTTCTATTGAGTGAGACTAAATATGGAATTTTATTTTTAAAAGCTCAAAAGAATTCAATCCATTTATGGTAGGTACTTTCGAAACAATGAAACTGTGCCTTTATGTTCTCAAAAGCAACTTTCAATTTGAATTCTACAAAAGTTATTGTCCTGGATTATCAAGGAAAATATTGAACTGTCAGTAACCTTATATAATAAAAAGGACTGCTAATGTTCAAGTTTCCAAGAAATGAAGTGAGTTTAAAGTAGACAATTAGTGAATGAATATTTAAACCTTAAGAAGTTATTGCATTTGTAAGTATTTAAGTATTATTGTCAATTACAGTTGAATGCATGGATTAACCAATAAAGATTAGGTCAATTAAGCTATAACCAAAGCAGGTATTGGTTACATTTTACTTCCATAAGGTTTTGAAAGATAGTATTGGAGTTTTGAAAATCCATTGTTTTGCCATCTTTTTCCTAGGATATTGAGTTTTGATTTGGTAATTTGTCATAAATAAATGATGTGATTTTACTTTGAATATTTCATTTTTAGTGGTAATTTTATTTATATTATAAAGTATCAAAACAAAATAATTTCACATTCTTCAAATAATTTATTTGAGAAATATCTAATATTTTTATTGTACATATTCATAAATTCTTTAAGCAAATTTGATCAATTCCTCCCCATGATAATATACCATAGTTCAATTCAGAATGGAGTTGAGAAAAATAAATCATCTCTATATATATTTTGCTCTATTTGAGGACATCATGTTTTGATGGAACTATTAATTCAATAATTACATTTGATTATTTTGTCTATCATGATGCCTAAATGTTTGGTATGATCTCTTTCTTCAATTTCTAAATCAGTTACTTCAATAGGGCCAAGAAGATTTCCATAATATAAAAGAAAGATGTGATTTCACATAATTTGACAGCTAACAAATTATTGTTAAACCAATTCGTTACATTTTCAACTTGAATGAGATTTTTGGGAGATTCCCATGTTTTTTATTAATAATATGACAGTGTCACCTGCAAAGCTATGTATAAAACCACTAGTTTTGAATAAGAAATACGTTGAACCATACGGGCCCTAAAACTTGTCCCTGTGAAACTCCATAATTTAGTACTCTTTCTGAACTAATATGGTCCCCTATCTCAACACATTTTTTTCGATTCTGTAGATAACTCTCTATCAATTACAACTCCAACCAGGAAAACCAATTTTGTTCCAATTCAAATAGTGACACTGTGTGAATAGTTTAAATTATCTACTCTCTGATTGCCAAATTAATCTTTTCTATTATCTTGATCCTTCCCATTTTGTTAAGTTTCTTATCAGCATTTCATTGATTCCCTTGGCAATTCATTTTGTTTTAATTCATCATTACTAAGAAAATTGATAATCATTTCAAAGCAGGTGTTAGCACAACACCTTTTTGGGTATCTTATCTCTGCTACCTGTAAGCTTTTGTAAATATTGATGAAAAGTTAATATGGGTAACAATTGCATTAGGCCAAAGGTAAGAAAGGGTCAAAGTAATGGATCGACAAACAGGGCCATAGCAAAGTTTTAAGAAAGTCAAATGCAGGTAGATTTTTATAATAAGTTTCAAGAAGAGTCTTCACTGTATTTTTTAGTTCTCTAATACGGAGCAGTCGCTGTATGACCCAGAGCTGCTTAAGAACTTGGATTGGGCTTCGGTAAGCCAAAGCCTAACGCCCCCGATAACAAATGAAGAACCTGGCGAGTCCTGGCTTGTGGTGAGGCCCCTGAAAATTTCCGACTACGAGAGAGGCTACCTGGAAATTCTGTCGCAACTGACTACGGTGGGGAATGTCACGAAACAGGATTTCGAACGTGAGTACGCTGCCCATAATTCATAAGTATGCTTTGTTGAACTGTTGCTGCCTCTAGGTCAATTCTGGAAAATGCACACGTCTGGAGGCTACTATGTCACCGTCATCGAAGATATTAGGGACGGGAAGATAATAGGATCGTCCACTCTCGTCACAGAGTTTAAATTCATCCATGACTGTGCTATTAGGGGTAGGCTGGAAGACGTCGTCGTGAACAACGCCTATAGAGGAAAACAACTGGGAAAACTGTAAGACACCTCTAGTGTTCCTTTGATAGGGTCTAGTTTAATGGAGAACAAACAATCAATTGGTTTAGATGAAATATCACCAATAGTCAAACAAATAATTGACGCCGTAATGGTACTACAAAACATATTTAATAAATCAGATTTGATTTTGATCCTTTCTTCAAAAGAGGAGAAAGAAATGGGGTAAAGGTTTCATTTATAAATGATAAGTAAAACTTGTGAATACTAACATAATCAATTATTTGGATGCCACAAATTAACATGGATTCAGAAAAAATTGTTCCATAGAAACAGTAACCTATGATTTTCACGATTATATATGTTCCAAAAGGGATTCTTTACAATTTCATAATACGTCGAGGGCATTTGGCACAGTCATCAAAGATTATACTGAATCATTTCGACTCAGTTTCTCAAATAATATTCAGAAATGGCCGTCATATATGATCCTTCGAGGTATGACTGTCAAATATGAAGGCATCGTGTCCATGTGACATCAGGAGTTCCCCAGGGTACAGTTGTGGGGCCATTACTTTTTTGTAATGTTTGTCAACGATCTTTCAGAACTTGTTGAAAGCGGTAATGTAACTATGTTTGTTGATGATACTACAAAAACCATCAGTTGTAATATCCTGTAGTCTGGACTAGTTTGACTGATAGAACAACAATCTTTTTCTGTGGAAGTTGAAGGCGTAGTAACTGCTGGATTAAGTATACGTGTAGACTCTACTCATTTGTTGAATAAGTTTTTCTATGCCTTCTATTCTCCTATTACACTACCTTCTTCTTGAGATTCCTTAGATTTTTCCCGATTACTGATTTTGCAAAGAAGTTCTGTGAAATCAAAGTCTTGGGAATTTATCATTCCAGGATACTCCTTAAGAATTTCAGCCTCCAGCATTATTTTCATGTCAGGAACAGTTCCACCAGAATTGACATTGAAATATTCAAGTAGGTTAACTANCAGATTTTCGTAAAAAGTAGCTAGATTTCCTAAAAAGTAGATATGCTATGAGAGTACGGGCACCAAAATAACCATTTTTCCGTGTAAATCTCCATAAGAAAAAGTCTGGTCCAACAAGTTAATTTTGTCACTAGGTTTCCCCAAAGTCACCAGATTTTCGTAAAAAGTAGCTAGATTTCCTAAATAGTAGATATGCTATGAGAGTACGGGCACCAAAATAACCATTTTTCCGTGTAAATCTCCATAAGAAAAAGTCTGGTCCAACAAGTTAATTTTGTCACTAGGTTTCCCCAAAGTCACCAGATTTTCGTAAAAAGTAGCTTGATTCCCCAAAAAATAGATATGCTATGAGAGTACGAGCACCAAAATGGCCATTTATAAGAAAAAAGCAGGTTCAACATGTTTCCTTTTTCACTATAATTCCTAAAGTCACTAAATTTTCCAAAAAGTCACTGGATTTAGTTAAAAACTCCCTATATTTGCCCAAAAAGTACCAGCACCAAATCCAACTTGTTGATTTTGTCACTAAATTTTTACTTTAATCAGCGAAATTCTGTCAAAATATATTTTGGCAAAAATATAGTAACAAAATTAACAGGATTTTGGTGGACCTGCTCTTTTTCTTATGAAGATTTACATGTGAAATGAGCATTTTGGCGTCCGTACTCTCATAGTATATCTACTAATTATATTCTGTTTTTTAATTCAGGTTGTTACTAAATATCCAAAAGAAAGATAAGATATAGGAAATCAAGCAACCAAGGAGCTGATCTTGGAAATTTTTTGCGGAGTTGCAGTCTCTTGACAATCTCGGCTTCATTATGCCAGCAATTTTCTCGAGTGAAGCTGTTTATTGGAGCATTTGTTGTCATGAGTGAAAAAAGTCATCACAACTCTTATGCATAACTGAATATTATGCCCAACTTATTTTGTTGGAAGCAATTCTTTACAATTATCATTTCAAGTTGACCAGATTCCACTGTAGAATATATATTTGTTTAATCCACCATTGATGTAATGTCATGGACAATATCACGTAATTTTTGGCATTGAAGAAATAATCAACATAAATGCAGAACACTGGTTCCGATTCCCAGTGTAGAGCCTTGTGGTATACCTACTCTATACTCTATATATTCAAACTCTACATGATTGATCTGACTTTGGAGGTGGTTTTCAAACCTTTACGTGCTATGTATAGAGACATAAAGATCCAGCTTCCCTAATGAAAACTNAATTTCAGTCAAGTTGGGAAAAATTCAATTACGCCCGGAAAAGTTTAATTACGTTCGGAAATTTTCAATTACGTTCGGGGAATTTCAATTACGTTTGGAATAAACACTGCGAATATAGGAAATAAAAATAATTAATATCAATTATGATTTGGATTTCAATGATGTATTTTATATTGTATTTAAACTTTTGCATCATGGATGGTCCTGGATATATTACAACAGGCAAGATAGTATAAGTTTTAATGAAAATTGTGAAAAGTTTTGAAATCTCTAATGAAATGCAAAGATTACAGTGAAATTGATATTCCTTTTATTTTTACCGCTCTTCAGTAGACAGATACATATATACTATTGAGCTACTGAACTTTGAAACAACTTAATGTTAGTGTTTACTAGATCGCAATGCATAAACGCAAACTGGAAAAGCTCCTCAGAAACTTCATTGAACAAATAATAATGATGAGGCAGGTTTTAATAAACGTTTGTATTTCTTTGTTTTTTTTTCTTTGGTGAAACAATATAGACTAAACGAATAACACAACTCGCTGAACTCCCACTTTTAGCATTATATAAATAGTAGAGTTCTCTACTTTTGGACTCTTTTCATGCATTTCCATTTTATTTCAGTAATATCACAGCCCAACTACCACTCGTTGCAAATCAGCATCTTCGAACGTCTAAGCAAAACCAAAGAGGTCTTCCACCGTTTTTTTGCGGATTGGAATCCAATTTCCTACATTTCATATCTAGACTCACTATGGCGCTCTTGTTGAAGTTTCTCAGATAAGCCGTCAGGGCATATTTAAAAAAGTCCCTATCCGTTTCCTGTAAGAAGTTGAATCAAACATGTTTATCTTTGTCACGGTACACGAAATTTTACATACAGGATGTCTGTCTGATATTTCATCGAACAAATCGAAATTGTATTCCCCGATTTCTTCAAAAGCCTTCATCCATATCTCAAACTGCTTGTCTTGTAGATCGAGAATAGCCTTCAAAAAGCCTGGATGCTTGACTAAAACTTTACTCTGGCCGTATTCATCAGAAACGTGCAATCTGCAGGAGAAAAACTTTAAAAAATTCGAATGCTAGAAAAAACACTTACTTTGACAGAAATTCCATCTGCTTCTCTCCTTTTCCACATTGCACACAACGACCTGGGCATTCGTTTATGTATCTGCAATCTTTACAGCGGTTTGTCATTTTTATCGACAGTATTTGAACGCTCAGCACTCTGCCCCAGACAATTACACTGAACGGAATTTTATTACCGTGCCCCAGGAAGAACTTCGGGCCCCAGTCGAGTTCGAACTCTCCGAACCTATAAAAAAAGTAAATAGGTTATAACAGAAACGATTTTGGTGCATCAGAACATATCCAGTGGACACAAGTCTGGTAAACGAGCAGGCTAGAGAGAAATGATTGTCTTAACAAAGCTATCTCAGAACTGAAAGTAATTATGATTAGTAACATAGTTATTATATTGGAAAAACCTTTTACATCCGGGAAATTGGAAGCAAAACGTATGTGGGACAAACCAGTTACAAAGATCACAGGCTCCATTCACTTACAAATTTGCCGTTCGAAACTCAATCAGAGGCTCGTAGGCTTGAATTTCCAATGAAGTTAGTGCAGTAGCTTTGAGGTACTTCTTCGACTGAGGCTGTACATTCCTAATGATGAGTCGAATTTGCGGTATCAGGCCCAGCGGCATCAAAATGTTTTCCCAATCGTTCAAGTAGCAGTCTAAATATACCTCTGTGTTGTTTTCTCTACAAGAAAATACTAACTGATGGTTGTTGGAGCCTAAAAACGAATCCTGACTGAAGTAAAATGATGGTTCCTCAGAGATATGTCCCGGGACTTTTCCAAACACACTTACCTGGTGTTCCGAATCCATAAACTGTGGTTCTTCGAGGGATTCTAGAAGATAACTTATTAGCAAACCGTTTCTGTTTCAAAACCCCTGAGAAGGAAACCAACTCAGAACTGCGTGTGACAAACTTTTTGCATTCCTCTACGGTTAACAACTTCTCAGGGTCTTTTTCATTATCGAGCAGCTCGAAATAGGCCTCGTTATTACTGATTTCATATATCTTACACTTATACAGTCTTGTCAGTTCCGAACAAGTGGGTTCTTTCCTGAAGTAGGTATATTACCTTTCAGTAGGATGCACATTTATCACGAACATACTTACAAGACGGTACCGTGGCTCAACTTGTAGGATCTGCCTTCTTTCAAGTAAATCGTGATTCGTATATAATCAGAAGGTAGAATCAGAAAAGCAAATTCGTTATGGTTAGTGTAGTTTCTCTTCGTTATTGATATATACAGCCTACATTCTGGTCGTTTATTCTCTCCTATACATATCTAAAATGAAAGTATATGATAAATTGATTTTCTACGTTGTTATGAATATAAACAGAAAATCCTGAAAAAGGTCAATTTTTATATATGAAAATACACTTTCTCAATAAAATTATTCAACTGCCCAACAGCGCCATCTGCCCGCGAATAGATCAAGCAATAATACCGATATATCAAGGAGGTACGGTACAGCGCCATCTGCCGCGAATAGGTCCCGAGCTTGAGAGTTACAAACATACATACATACATACAGCTGAAGCTAATATAAAGCGTATTAAAATGAATTTATCCATTACTTTGGGACCTCACTGCATTGTAGGTGTACAAATACTGTTAGTGCCTGTATAACAGAGTTATCTTTCAAAAATATATCACAGCGTGTTTTCCTGTAAATATCATGAAGCATATGGTATTTTTCTATGTAACAAGTGTTTTTGCCTCTCACCAAGCTCTTATATTCGATTCTTGTGACAACCCTATGGTAGGCTTACATTTGCTAAGGCAACCCTTTACCATTATGTTTGCAATACATTTTAATAATTTGTTAGGAAAATTGGGAGTTACTACTAGGAAAAATATAATTAAATATTGTTGAAAATGTATGCAGGAATTCGAGAAACTGGCACAATTTGGAATCTTATATCTCAAGAGCTTCATCCAGATGCCAATTTTTTTGTTGAGCCATTATTTACGCTGATTTCAATAATAAATAAATGCAAGAATTTGAAAAAGTAGCCAATTTTGAATCTTCATAGTCAAATTCAAAGGTAGTTACGTTTGTTTTCTAGATGTTGATAGATAGTTTAGAAATAAATAGATACAAACACTGTAAAATACATTCAGTTGCAATCTTTAAAGTTCATCAAATACATACGTGATATGAAAAAATGACATGTACATTACGTTTGGAAAATGGTATTTTTCTAAAAATTTTGTCACAGAATACAAAGCATTTGAGATTAAGTAACCGGAAAATCATCTTTTCGATAAATCGAAACTGCTGATACCAAGAATATCTGTAGCATGGTCATACATTGTATTTTTTTTACGTTAAAGCCAACTCTATTGGTCCATGATAAGCAAGTTTAAGAAAATCAGTGATACAGTTTCTCTAAGTCATCTAATAAGAAAGTATCTATATGCTACTCAGTGCACTGATCTACAGTTGAACCAAAGAATAAAAGAAATTGGATATGAAGATTTTATTTGAAGCACATGTATTTTTCTATGTTGGCGAATCTGTTTATTTATCATTAGTGTCAGTTGTGATGTTAATAACAATATTAACTTCACATGACAACTAACACTAATGGCAAATACACAGAGTTGCCAACTTGGAAAAAATACATACACTGCAAACCAAATCCTTATTGATGTTGACGATAAAAATACAATGAAAACAGCAAACAGAACTCAAAAATGGCCAATATAAACATCACCTACATATGCCAGTTGACACCAATGACAAATAAGCAGAGTTGCCAAAGAGGGAATAAATAAATGAGCTCCAAATGAAATCTTCATCGTCAGCTATTAGTGCCATCTGTATATACTAGCATTTTGTCTTGGAATATATTGGAAGTATATTGTATCAAATATGAAAATAACAGCGGACTTAAAATCGATCCTTGGGGCACCCCAATTTTATGTTCAGTTTATCTGATCATAACTAATCAATACTTTATTTTTATAATTGCCAATTCTATTAGAATTCTACAGTACCTATGTTTTATTATTATTATTATTATTATATGAATGTATCACTGTTTGTATAATATCTATACTACTCTATTACTTTGCTGATTTTATATGCTATTCGTTATTGTCTTGTAATTGGGATTACTACTGTTAGACAGACAATAAACCTTTTTTTTAATAATATAGTACAGCAAAAGACATTTAGAGTATCAAAACTCTTTTTTTTTTGTTGAATGAGTTGAATTTCAGCCAAAATTTTTCTCTTGAAGAGTCTGCTTTAGACAAGTACTGTAATTTTTGGATTTTCCAACACAGGGTTTTAGGTTGTTTGCCATGGTTTTGTTTTGATGATGGTTATAATATACTGAAAAGTCCAAGATGTACAATAATATATACAATATCAATTGAAATAAAAATAGTACATTCATGAATTTTTACTTTTGATTCATTTTCAAAAAAACTTAAACATTATGACGTTGATTAAACTTTTTACAAACATAGTGAACGAACTGGCTAGATATCTCGAGTAATACTTTGAAATCGAGTATGCCAACATGAATGAAACTTACCATGCTCTTTTTCACCAACTGAAACTCAAGGCTGTAATTATACTTGAGCCTTTTAGCACTGCTGTTGAAATAATAAAGCGAAACTTCATTTTTTTGTGATGAGAATACTTTTACAACATCCTGGAAATCCACTAGGATGCACTCCAAATTTGGTACGTCACTTTCCTTGTATATCTCTGTTATCAACTTGTAATTCCTAATAAGAACGTAACTATCAACTATAGACTGTATATTCTCAGGCGTGGCATTGGTAAAAATGCAGACGACTTGATACAGAGAATCCTTCAACATCAAGAAACCGTAAAGGTCCTGGAGGATAACCAACCCGAACAGGAGGGAGTGTTTTCGGGGCTTGGGGTGCACCCCAAAGCTCCAGTGTGGAAATTCTCTGTACTTGCTTGATTGTATCTCTACATGTCGACACGAATTAATACATATCAAGTCTAAGTGCGATATGTGCTTGTTTAAACAGACGTGATCGGCTTTAGTGGGGATTGAAAACAGTCTCAACAGAATCTTCAGTAAAGAGAGTACAATGGTTTCTCGTATTTCAGGGCCTAAGTCTTGGAAATTGTTTTCTAACAGACCTATGACAGCGCCAATAGTTACCAGATCCTGAGCTCCGAGTCGATGGCTTTCAACGAACTTTACGAAGGCGTTGGGTTGGAATTTCTCAACTGGTACCCCCTTCAGTTCAGAAGTTGTACACGGTACGTACGTTGAAGAAATTTTATGAGCGTTTTTGAAGGAAATTCTTGCTCCTACTTGTGGTAGGCTCAACGACGGATTGTTCAGTAGCAGAAGGCTCAAATGAACCTTTGTTTGATTATTTAGAATGATGTAAGCAAAAGCCTCATTAACATGTGTAACTACACCCTGTAAAAAACCAGCTGAGTATTTTACAGACCACTAACAGAGGTGCCACTTACTTCATATTCCATTGTTTAGTCGTCTACAGTCTCGCGGATTTAATTATTTCTATTCTCTTTGCTTTTAATTTCAATGGTCAAGTTATAGAACTTTTTCAAACTCATCGCCAACGGATTCTAAAGTGCAAATGAACTACTGTCACATCTTTGAACTACTATGTAAAGCCGCGTTTAGATACTTTTGTCAGACGCTAGCGATTAACTATCTCTATCTTCCATTTTTCAACACTTCAATTATAAATGATAAAAATACACTGACTCTGACCACTTCCAATATAATGATTTACTGATGACACTTGAATAAAATACTGTCTCTCAATGTGCATTTCGCTACGCATCATCACGAAATGACAAAAACTGAATTTTACAACTAACTTATCTAACACATCTAGATAACTCATTACCTTCTGTGATGTGGGTCATTAAATGAGTTGGTAGTAGTAGTTATATATTTACATAAGGAGAACCAACTTAGTTGTAAGATTTTTTTCTGGTGTACTTAAAGTGTTCCATTATATAGATCCATTTCAGAGTTTCCAATTCCACCTAACAAGATGTGCACTTCTGTATATATGTATTTTTACCAATAAAAAAAACTGATGCTACACTAAAAATGAAACCAACACCTGGCTTTGCTATATTTTATAATTGATTTGTACATATATTGAATATATTTCGTATCCGGAAGCTTCGAAACGCAACCTAATGTAACCTTGGGAAGGACTGCACAGAAAATGACATCTAGGTTTCATAAGTCGAAAGTCAAACTCAAGGAAAACAGTGATTCATCATAAAGAAAAGGTTCCTTAGTGTCACCCATTCAAATAAAATGAAAGAATAAATAAAACTACTTTCAACTACCGAACTAGATTTGTCTTTCGATTAACTCATAACTTTTGTCAGCAATACTTTTACAACAAGTATTTTTGTTTTCCTTGAATGTTGTAACATCACTTTGCGGCAATAGTCCCTTCGAATAAGAAATTACACATTCATACAAAACATACATATTCAGATAACACTGTTAGATTTTTACTTAACAGTTTATGAAACTGACCAGGAGTACATAATTCGACTTGTGGTTCCTGCATATAATTAACATTGGTCAAATTTGGAGAACATTATCTCAAAGAATGAGAGAGCATAGAATTTTACATTTTTCATTGTATAACTATACAAAAAATATATACAGTAACTTGAAAAACGCGGTGCACTGAAAATTTAAAAATCTATTCTAATTTCAGCATTCCTGGATACTGTTTTCATGAAAGCAATGTTGAAAAACCTACTGGGCATTTAGCAATTTGAAGAAGAGTTGTCCTTGGCTCCCACCTTCCTCCCTAGCAAGTCCGTTCTGCTTGGAGGCTTGCTGTCTGTGTCTGAATCCGAACTGTCATCTTCAGACGAAGAGTTCTGGTAACAACCCAGTCCGGGCAGTACTGCAACACATGTCAGAGCAGAACTCTGACCATTTACTACTGCAGGCAAACTATTTGAAGACTGTTTATCACCTGAAATCAAAGAATATATTAAAAAAATGTATAGAAAAATAATACATTTTTCAAGGAAATGAAAATTAACTGAATTTTGTTGAAATTGTGTTATTTACATAACAAACGAAGTTCTTCCTAGTATTTCTGAGGGAAGTTTCTATTTTATGAATCAGTTTTAGGTTGTTTTTAAGGTTTCTTGACAGTCACACACCCTAAAAATGTTATTTAACCTAGAAACATACCTGTTTCGTCAACATCTTCTTCCCTAATTCGTTTGGAATTCTCTTGCTTGGCTTTTTCCTCTCCTTCTTCCATTTTCCGTTTGTTGCTATCGCTCTTTTTTATAACGATCCCTTTCAGCAACTTCTGTTGCGAATTACGATTGTCTTTGGAAGTTTTCGATTTGTTGACTACTATGTCTGCCTGGATCCTCTCGTCTAAAGATTTTTCCTGTAAAATAGCGACTCGGTTTCTATAATCGAGCAACTCCTGCTCTTCTTCTAGTTCTTTCTTGCGATCTGCTTCTATTTTCGTGCGGTCTACAAGGTCCAGAAACTCAATTTCATCGTCATCGAGACCTTTTATCATATTTTCTGAAAATAAAAATAGTGAAGGGGATTAATGAATTCGAATATATGTCAGACATATTTTACTCAATTTGTGCGCTTCTTCATATTCCAAGTCTTTCTTCTGTTTCTGTTCCTGTAATTTATCGTATAGACTCCGTGAATCGAAGGGCTCTTCTGGTCTAACTGAAAATGAAAATAAATAAATTATTGTGATCTGTCAAAGAACTGTTTTCCTATCAACCTATCGGATCATCGGCCTTTCTAACTCTATCCCATTCTTCTTGTCTCCGTTTTCTTACTTCTGCTGCTTCGGTCTCCGTAATAAAACCAGAACTCATATTCCTATTATTGCTCGAACTTGAATATCACAATCTCTTTCACTGAATTTTACAAATTTCAACAACGACTTCAATCTGAAACGCAAACTCAGTATGTTGTCATCCTTTTTCAACACTTCATTATGAGAAAGTAGGAAATATTGGACAAAAACAATACTGAAGTAGACAAAACGACAGTGACAGGTTATTAGGGAATTATTGGAAACGCTATAAGGTAAATGCCTTATTATGGTCGTTCCGAAAATGGGAGGTACGCATGCGCACTAGAAAAAATTTAATAAGGAAACCATAATANAACCGAAAGACATTATTTCTGGAAAAAAGACTCAAAGTATATTTTTCCTTAATATCCAGAAGTCTTTGGGGTTACAGTGATGATAGAGTATGCAACTCTAAAGAAAAAACTAACTTCTCAACATATTTCCCCACACATTTATTTTCATGAACCCTTCACTTGAATGAATATTGGTTTCGTTGTACAACTTCGAAATATATTAGAATTGAACGATTACATAATTTGCTAACTATGGTGCAATTTTAACGCAGGCATATGGAGTATTATTGAATTTATAGTAGTTCAAGGACAGAAAACAAATTTGAAAAATTATAACTCATAAGTATATTGAGTTTGAAAATTATTGAAAAAAATATTGATGTCTTATGTAGAAGGGGTTAAAAACTATCAACAAAATGAAGTTGTCGAAAACTTTGGTACGTCAAAATATTTCATAACCGTACTGGTGACAGCTAATGAGCTAGAAATACGTATCTGCGGTTTGCTTACTTATTTTTTGAGTGCTTTGTACATGAATTTTCCTGCTTTTGAATATATCAAGTTCATCTCATTTTTTGAACTAAGATACTATTGACTTTGAAAGATTGTAACGACGTTTCTATTTTATTAATGTGAAATAATTATGTATTTAATTTCGTATGCTCTGATGGTAACTAAACAGTGTACAGTGTACAAATTGTCATTTGTTGTGATAACAATCACTATCGTTAGTGTACAGTGAAGGCACGTTTCAGATTCTCCAAATTTCGACGCCCAGAAACATCTACTCCACTCGCCCCTCCCCAACCCTGTTGCTAACGCGCGGAATCTGCGACGCGCGGCTTACACCACCAGTCGCCCTCCATCGCCGTCGAGATGGAAAACGCGAAAATATAATTTCCCGTCTCGACAGTCGGTCCGCGATGTAAAACATCTCGAATCCAAAAGGGATTCTTTACAATTTCATAATACGTCGAAGGCATTTGGCACAGTCATCAAAGATTATACTGAATCATTTCGACTCAGTTTCTCAAATAATATTCAGAAATGGCCGTCGTATATGATCCTTCGAGGTATGACTGTCAAATATGAAGGCATCGTGTCCATGTGACATCAGGAGTTCCTCAGGGTACACTTGTGGGGCCATTACTTTTTTGTAATGTTTGTCAACGATCTTTCAGAACTTGTTAAAAGCGGTAATGTAACTATGTTTGTTGATGATACTACAAAAACCATCAGTTGTAATATCCTGTAGTCTGGACTAGTTTGACTGATAGAACAACAGTCTTTTTCTGTGGAAGTTGAAGGCGTAGTAACTGCTGGATTAAGTATACGTGTAGACTCTACTCATTTGTTGAATAAGTTTTTCTATGCCTTCCCTTCTCCTATTACACTACATTCTTCTTGAGATTCCTTAGATTTTTCCCGATGACTGACTTTGCAAAGAAGTTCTGTGAAATCAAAGTCTTGGGAATTTATCATTCCAGGATACTCCTTAAGAATTTCAGCCTCCAGCATTATTTTCATGTCAGGAACAGTTCCACCAGGATTGACGGTGAAATAGGTTAACTATCTGCTCTCGCGAAAGGTTTTGAAGTAACTTGACCATGGTTTTATCAAATGCGTAAGAACTATTCACTTCTTGGGGTCACCAATTGTAGCTTTTAAACTACTTTTTAAAAACGTTTTTGATTGAAGTTTTTATTAATTCTTTATTACATTTCCTGAACAAAATCATCTAAACAAACACATAACAGTTTTTTAAATGTATCAAGTTAGATTCAAATCAACATGGTCGCAGGGTGCCAAATCTGGTGGATACGGTGGCAGAGGAATGATTACAATGTTGTTTTTGGTAGAAAAATCAATCCAAAAGTCATTAATTGTTTTTCCACAATAGCGGAGGTTTTTTTCGTATTTCTTCTCGCAACCGACGCATAACGCTGTACCAAAAATCTCATTATCATCAACCCACTAACCTGTGTTACTTTTCAGGATAGTTCTGACAGTGAGCCTTCTTGCCAAGAAACTCGGCTGCTACAAGATGTCTCTTGACTGCAAGGACCCCCTCATAGCGTTCTACAAGTCGTTGGGATACAAGCTAGAACCGGGCAACTCCAACTCTGAGGAAGGACCATCAAAAACCATGGCATTGGCATTTATACCAGTCTATGAAAACAAAACTCAAGTGAGCTACGGAATTGAAATTCTATATACTGCCTGAAGAATCAATAAAAGTGAGGCTTCAATAATTGAACACAAGATGACGCTATGGTCTATACTTTTGGAACTTTGATTTTGGTCTATGAGCATGAAATTTAATTCGACTTCTTTTATTAATATAATGTGATACTTTCGTACGACACTATATCATGTGAAAGAATAAAAAAGTTTCGAGATATCAAGAAACTTCAAGCGTGTGCCAGAAAAATCAATAATTACACAATTAGTTTCTTGTACTTTAGGCGCCATTCTGATATCTTAGTGAAAATGACAAATCAACGCCACCCCATTTTCCAGTCAAGATCGATAAGGCCATAATAACATTA